ATAACAACAACAACAACAACAACAACAACAACAACAACAACAACAACATCAACAACAACAACATCAGCAACAGCAACAGCAACAGCAACAGCAACAGCAACAGCAACAGCAACAGCAACAGCAACAGCAAGAGCAAGAGCAAGAGCAAGAGCAAGAGCAAGAGCGAGCAAGAGCAAGAGCAAGAGCAACAGCAGCAGCAACAGCAACAGCAACAGCAACAGCAACAGCAACAGCAACAGCAACAGCAACAGCAACAGCAACAACAGCAACAACAGCAGCAACAGCAACAACAGCAACACCAACAGCAATGCCAACAGCGACAGCAACAACAACAACAACAACAACAACAGCAACAACAATCACAGCCACTACCAGTACAAAGACAACGTTGATGCTGATGCTCATATTAACACTACCCGTAAAAGGAACCTTCAACTGAACAAAAGTATGCATACAAAGAACTTACCATTAGTAATACTCTTGCTATTACTATGGCTATAACTATGGTTATGAACAGTCTCTGCATGCACTCTAGCCTCGTCATGGTCACTGTTACTACTCGTGTGCTGTTTACCGGGTCACCTCAACGACATAACACGGCTCAGGATCGAGTGTTGAATTAGGATGAGCCCGTGTGAAGGCACCAGCGGACCAAGAAAGAACAGCTCTCGGGATATGGCCTCACGGCCGAAGGGATCAATCTGTACCAGGTCCTGACAGCTGAAGGCACAACCTGCACATCCTCACGAGTCCCGCAAATTGGGCACGTAGCTGCTTGGTTTCGGGGCAGTGATCTTCATGCCCCGATGGCCTCCAAACATGTTCGCACGAGCTGGGTCCTCCAGTTTTAGCCGCTCTTCTTCGGGTTGGTCCTGGACCTCTCGGACCTCCGCAAGATTGCAAGGGAAGGCAACTGCTGGCCATGGCAAGCACGTGCGGCCTCTGGCTTTGTGAGGCAAAGCCGCCCTAGGGCCCCGCCGCAGCTCGCTGCGATATACGAGCCTTGGATGGGCGCTCTTGAAGTCTTGAAGCACAGTGTGGCTTGTGCGAAACGAAAGCAAAGCCGATGCCTGCGACAATTGAGCTGCAAATTCCGAGCACGAATTGCATTCAAATTACATAAGCCTGGCGCCACCAGCAGCTCCTTGTTCCTGGCTGTCATCGCTCTTTGTGCATCTATGGATGTTCGACGGATCCCTCAGACGAGTCTGCGCTGCTTAGGGCTGCCTTTCTGGTGAAACAGGTGGGCAACAACTACAACTACTACTTTAGGTTCTGTTGATGGAATGGAACAGATTCACAGGATCACGGGGTCACTGCTGTCCTCGAGATGTGTAGTGGCACCGAGCACCAATCTTCTTGGCCCTGAGCTGGCGGCCCATTCGAGCCAGCTTTTTGAGAGGGTTTATAGGGTTTAATTAGGGAGCTGGTGAAGTTACGGATTCCCACAAGTTCGAACCTCCGAGCCTTTACTATGTGCTCATGGCTCGTGGCTTACGGTCATATCAATGTGATTGGCGTCTCGAGCTTCTTCAAAATGGAAACAGCACTTCGCACGCCAAAGAAGGAACTTCCTAGACCCGGAGGGGCGGCATGTCACTAAACCACCTACCAAGCTCCGAAACAGATACTCCGTATTTCCATTAGTATGTGTATATGTATGTGTGTATGTATGTATGTATGTATGTATGTATGTATGTATGTATGTATGTATACATACATACTTCCTGATTTCCGGTGCAGGTTAGTCAAGCGTCGTTCGGTCGACGGGGTGGGTTCCTCCAGGCGGGCAAGTTCAGCTCCTCCGCTGCTGCCTGGGCCTGAGCCTGCCGAGGCGGAGACTTTTCAGCGGTGATACACTACGTAATATTATATACATGTATATGTAAAAAAAAATATATATATATATATATATGATTATATATGTATTTATGTATATATCAAGCAAGTTGACAATTCCATATTTGTGTTTATAAAAAATGCTTTGTGGGCTCCCCAAAGTCGGAGCCAAGACCCGCCCGGGAAGAACCACCAAACCGTGAACCTGAGTGCCGAAAGCCCGCGACCTATAAACCTTAGAACCCCTAACCCACGAAGCTCAAAGAGCGGTTATGCCCTAAGGATCCCTACGGACCCCGAAAAGCCCCCAAAGCGCCTGGAACTGGAGGGGGTCCCAGGAGTCCCAACTTTGTGACAAGGACATGCGAAGGCCCTCAGATCGAGCCAGATCGCAGGGCCTCAGCTGGAGGCTTGCAGAGGTTCTTCGATTCGGATTTCCGGGTTTTAGGGCTTTGGGGGCCTTGGGCTTAAGAACCTCGTCTCATGCTTCGCAGTGGTGGTTTCTTGAAGCGGGGGAGTTGCAGCGGGCACACAACCTCTAACTCTAACCTGAGTGTCGGATTCACAGCCCGCAAGAGTAAGCCAGGGAGGACCTTACTGTAACTTGTACACGTTCGGGAATCCCAGAAGTCCCTGTCGGCTTCTTCCTTCAGGCATTGCGGCCTCTTCCCCCGAAAATCCAACGTCGCCGTCCATCTCGGACATGCCAAGGCCAACAGCCGGGCGGCCTACAAAGAGGTTGCGGCTCATTTTTGCACGCGGGGCTTCGTGGAATTAGTAGTGCTGGTTGCAGGCTTCATCTTTCAAGCAAGTGCAAGTGAGTCACAAGAGTTGTTGTTGGAATGTGTCTTTGGAAATGAACGGGTTAGATCTTCATCTTCAGGCGATCAAGCAGACCATTCAGTTCTAGGTTCACAGAAGACTGCCAGTTGTGATGATCATACTGCTGCTGCTGCTGCTGCTGCTGCCGCTGCTGCTGCTGCTGCTGCTGCTGGCGATGGTGATGACCACGGTCATGACCACAGGAACGGTCATGACCATGATCGCGCTCATGACGATGAAGATGGTGGTGAAGACTATGGCGGTGATAGTTGCGGTGGCTGTGATGATGACGATGATGGTGCTGATAGTTGCGGCACCGCGGCACCAGTCTCCCGTCGACATGGAAATCAGTCCCGCCTCCAGGTTCCCGTAGCGCGTGGCCACATGCAATGGTGTTTCGCCGAAAAGGTCCACGTAGTCAACACCTTCCTGAGGCGGGCATGAGCCAGCTCTTGCCGGTGTTTGTACCTACCAGCCTTTGTCAATCACGTGGAACCGCCGCCCTTGTCTCAAACTTTGACCCTCAACCCGGAACCGTAAGGCACCCCTTTACCCGGGCCTCTTCCAAGGCCCCGCCTTCCAGCAAAGCCCGGACCACGCGATCCTGTTTCCAAGGACCGTGCAACTGCGCTGGTCGTGAACCAGCCCAGGCGAATTCGGTCTACATGCTGGCCAGTCTCTATGTCGCCTTACTTGGCATGACGGATACAGTGTTGTTCCTGTCATCACTTGGACCTTGTTCGCTGCCTCCGCATCATCCCTGGCCGAACCACTTGCTTGATTTGCTTGGCACGGCCTGTGACTCTCCCAACTGATTCCCGGCTTCTTCACATTGCTGCCTGTTTGCTCCAAGATTCGTGACTTCCCACCCGTTTCCCGCAGGCTCAATGCTGGTCTCTAATGCAGAAGTTCCATGCACCCGGCACGGCGAAAAACCCTCCGACTTCTGTCTGCTAGCTTCAGCCGTTGTTCCATCTCTGCCTGGCATTTCTTGTTCTACTTCGCCGCTTCTGCCCTCGGCTAGGAAGCGAGGGTACCCTCACATTTGGCGATGAATTCGTGGTGCAAATCGGTGAAATCGCTCAAGTCTAAAATCTTCTCGTCATCTTCTGGCCCAGAACAGGAAAACAACCTACCACAGCAACAATCAAAAAAGCTTCTAAATCTCGTAACCCCCAAACCCAAGCCCACACGTCTTGGGGCTAGACGCACTCAGTTTACAGTAGGCTCCCCATCCCCCCACCCCCCCCAAAAAAAAACTGTATTCAAAGGAGCATCCCCAGCCTCGCCCTGCCATGCAGCCACGTGCAGCGCCGTCCACCCCCGCTGGGCAGGACGAGTGAAAAAGTTCCGTGGATGCGACCGCTTTCCAGAATGCCTGTTGCGCTATGGGTAAGTTTAGTCTTTATAGGGACTTTAGGATTTAATTGCTTGCTTTTTTGTGTTGAGGGCGTTCTTCGTCCGCTAGAGAACCCTAGGCTTAGGGCTTGGGGCTCGCGGGGCTGAACCTGGGTACTCAGGTGCTGTCAAGGGTGATCGCCTCGTCCACTCAGGAAAACAGCAAAGGGAGCGACCCCGAGGCGCCAAAACTGGGAGGAGACCGTTGGGAAGCGCGCCCGGGGGGACGGTGAACCGAGAAGGTTCAAGGTGATTTACGGAGGCATTCGTGCAGCTTGCGGCCAAGTGATGTTCAAAAACCGCAAGCTCAGACGTTCCGAGGATCGCAGTGAGCATAAGAGCCATTTGCTTGCTCAAGCCAGCAAACTAGCAGCTAATTACACACAGCACAATCGCAGTGCCCCCCTCCTCCTATAGGACGAGGTTCGCCTCAGCCATCAAACTCCCACATCCCCCGACCTCTCGCCTGGTGCTCACCAAAGCGCCAGCTTGAAGAAGGCATTCACAGACCTGCCAGCTACCGAAGGGGGCTCAGCTGATCTACATTTGAGGCTTCCTTCTAAATCAATAGTCTGGGCAGCTGTTGAAGACATGGCTTCGCCTTTGGCTCCGAAAGTTTCAGCCAAGGTCAAGCAGGGTGCTCTAGGTCGGCGCGTCCAGGACCCTGTTACTATGTGAGCGTCCTGGCTCAGCAATGCAGAAGCTTCATCGGCTGGGAAGCCTTTTAACCGAAGGCTGCCTCCGCATGCCCCTGGCGCGTTGCCAGCATCAAAGGGGTGTTGCCATCCACGTCGGGCCTTGCAGACAGGCATGTCATGTCCTCTCATCCGAGAGTTCCGGCGGCGTTCTAGTTGCATACGCCCCCGGCCTATTCACATCGATGTCGGCTGAAGCGCTGCCTTGTGCACAGGCCGAGGTGGACCACACGGCACCCTTACAGGAGATGTGTCGGTGCCTTCTGCCAACTCAGCTCTTCCGAGCTTCAACCTACCTTTTTTGCTGCTGGTCGCCAGGGCACGGGTCAACTCCTTCAGCTCTTGCACCAGCTTCTCCATTACATCCTGCCGGCAGAAGCATCGCTGACAGCCTGGCTGGCCGTAGCTACTCTCGCTCCTTCCTCGTATTGCTGGGAGGCGCAGACGACAACAACTGTCACTGCTGACATCTTTCACCGCACTGTCGACCGACTGCTTACACTCTGACACTATTCTCATTCCTATGACCGGTGTCATCAGGTTCTCAGAATCTAGCGTCGCTACTGTACCAGCGAGTCTCAATACTTCCTTCCAAACTGCTCCTGCGGCGCTGCCGCACCGCTAGTGCTCGTGCCCCCAATGCATACTACAGCTCCCTCTTTCGAGAGCTAGGCCAGGCCGCCAGGCATGACGTACCTTCCCGCAGTCCTTCACTTCTTGGGTGTTACCGTTCTCTGCGGCAGTGTAGATGTCGATCAGATTGATCCTCGGGTCGTAACGCGTTGGATGACCGTCGTCAGAGAAGCTCAGCACCGAGTCCGTTAGAACCAGGATTCTGTCGGACGATGGTGCATTGCAGCCACACCCACAAGCAGAAGTAGCCACACAGGCAAGCTGCCATACCTGCACAGACTTACGATACTCGGAGAATCTGGGAGTCATATGATGATGTCGCAGACAAGAGTTTGATGCGTGCGGAGATGTTGAAACGAGCTCTGGGTGCCACCAAGCTGCTCGAAAACCTTGCAGACACAGGGGGCGCAGAGGAAAGCTTCGAGAAGAACTGTAAACGAGGCCATGTTTCAGACTCTCACACTGAAGCCGATGGTGCTGGTACTGATCATTGTAGTGATGATGACTGCGACGACTATGATGATGAAAGCCATGATTATGATGATGGCAGGGTGGTGGTCCTGATTACATCAAGTGGCATAAAGCTGTGCATGTAGACGTTATTCTTCATGTCCTTCCATGCCCGGTCCCCGGCTGCAGCAGCAGCCGAAACCACCAGCAGGGGCAGGATGACAACCTCCAGGAGAAACTTGATGTCCAGCCACCTGCAGGAAATGCCTACCTTATGCAGATGTACTGGGCTGCGCGGGTAGCACTGATCGTCGTCGTGGTCGTCGCAGTAGTAATAGTAGTAGTAGTCGTCGTCGTCGTCGTCGTCGTCGTAGTCGTAGTCGGCGTAGTAGTAGTGGTAGTAGTAGTCGTCGTCGTCGTCGTCGTCGACGTAGTCGTAGTCGTAGTCGTAGTCGTCGTAGTAGTGGTAGTAGTAGTATTAGCAGTAGTAGTAGTAGTAGTAGTAGTAGCAGTAGTAACTGTTTGAGTTGTAGGTACTGGTGCTAGACCGAGCACGGTAGTTTCAAATACAGTGTTTAATAGTCATAGCGGTCGTGGCGGTGGTGGCTCACTTGCTGGTGCCGTGAACTTGCTCCGTCTGTGCGTTGTGAACTGGGTCAAAGCTATGAAAGCCGTGATTTTTACGGTGCCAGTCGAAGACGCCTGTGTAAAACTACCTAACCAAAATGCTCGCTGGTGAATGCCTTGCTTGCGCTCTGTCCTGCTGCCTGCCAATGGTTTAGGAAAGCTGCGACTGCTCATGATCAGTATTGAAGACACTTCACCACTATGCTTCTTCTGACTTTGAGGAGCCCCATCAGCACTATCAATAGCAGGGGTAAACACCAACCCTTAGTCGCTGTCGACATCTTCGACGTCGTCGTCAAAACAGGACCAGAAAGAGAATGAGCTCGGGATCTACAAGATCAAGGTGCGAGAGTTCAAGACTTCGGGCCCAAGGACCAAAATGGAGAATTTAGGCTTGGGGTTTGGTTCGAGGTTGAGGGTTTGCGCCTAAGGTCTCGGGAAAGATACGGGTTCATAGAGTCGACGAACAAGCCCTTTGAGACGTGCGTGCTTATGATGAGCTCTGAACCAGAGGTGAGGTTTTTTTTTAAGGGTTTAGGGTTTAGGGTTTAGGGATTGCATGCTACTCTCATTTGGACGAGCTTCTGCCCAATGTTGCCGAATTTGATCTTGCTGTCCAGCATCTGTCGCATGTCCTGTCCGATGCGCAGCACGACGAACGGCTTCTTGAATGTGGTCCAAGCGACATCAAGACCTCAAACGCAAACCTCAGAAATGTCTCAAGCTCATAATTAAAGAACTCTAAGGATTTGCATTTGTAATTGTCATCATTCCGACCCTCATATTTACAGCCCGGTCCGAAATCGGCAAGCTTGGTCGCGGCAAGCCCGCGTTTAAGCCTGGAGCTTTGCAGAGACCAAACAAGAACATGACTAATCAAGGAATAGTCAAGGAATATACGGGAACTCATACTCGGGTTGCAACCTAATTGAAGAAATAAGCGCTAAATTATAGCAGGGTCTAGGGTCAGTTCGGGGTTTTGAAGCGGGGCTGGAATACAGGTTACTTGGAGGTTCATGGGTAGTTATAAGTGGTGTTATAAGTAGGATAACTATACTTGTAACCCACATTAGGGGACTAATAACCCCACTTATAACTACCCTAAACCCTAAACCCTAAACCATGAACCTCCAAGTAAATCATGCTCCAGTTCCTCTTAGAAGTAACGGGAGGCTCCTGTGCAAGCAATCGGTGTTGGAGTCCTCGTGTGAGCCGGTCGGAAAGTTGATTGAGTGTATTCACCCTAAACCTTAAACCCTAAACCGTTTCTCCAGTGTATTGGGTGTGTTGCATCTTTATAGGTTCTATCAGGGTTCTACCTGGTTCAAAAAATGTAGTCGAAGTGTAGGGTCTAAGGATTTTAGGATTTTTACGGCTCTATATAGAGCTTTAGGGTGTTCGGGCTTGGGGGCGTTTAGGCTTAAGGGTTTGCAGCTCAGGGCTTGACCTGTCTGCATAAGCTGTAATGCTGGTCTGAAGTTGTTGGAATGTTGCGGGATTCTTAAACCCTAAACCCTAGACTGCGGGACTCTATAGAATGAAGCCTGAACCTGGCCCATAAGCAACCAAACACCTGGTCCCAAGACCAGATTCCAGACTGTGGACCTCTGGCATCTATGAACCCCAATACAAGGCTGTTAATATTACGATTTACGGTACTGGGCTCTCTGGGAACCTTTATCGAAACTTTGCCAAACCCTGTGAAACCCTGGAAGGAATCATCAATGAAGTCTAGTGACGAGCAGGGTTTCGTCATGTTTATGCTTGAGACTGGAGAGGGGGGAGGCCATGAGTCTACATAATATAGTATAGCGGGGCTGAAGACTTCGAACAGGACCTTAGGGGTGGGGGGTGGGGTTCTACTACAGAATGAAAGTAGTAACTGAACAGACTGTAAGGACCTTCATGATTAGAAGAGGGTTTTTTCCAATCTAGTTACATTCGCAACATGCTTGAGTCATGTTCCTCATTGTGCTGGGCCCGCCGTTATTGTGGGGATCATAATCATCTCATCATCTATGCAGGCCCCCGAAATTGAACCCAAGACCTAAATGCGAACCCTAATTGAACCCTAAACCTGAACACCACCACAAAAAACTGCGCTAAACCCGACAACCACTAAATATCCCAGTCAGTTTAAAGAGCCAACAGTCGAATGTAACCCGAGGCCCTAAACCAAAGACATGAACCTTAGACCTGTGACTTAGACCCTGAACCCAAAAGTAAAGACATCTTCCTCCTTGAGTCTTCAACATTATGAATCGAACTCCCCAAAACCTGGTGAGATTTCGGACATGCGATCCTAGCATCAGTGTGCAATTGGGCTTCAGAGTTTTGGGGGTTAGGGTTTCGGACACGGGATTTTGGGAGAGCTCGGGGTAGATATGCTTGCAGCATACGATTTGAGGCTTTTGGCTGCGGCTTCCCTTGGGGCTTAGTTATAGAGTGCTAAGTCATTGAAGCTTTCCGCGAGTGCAAGGGTTTAGGGTTTAGGGTTTAGGGTTTAGGGTTTAGGGAAAGAGTTCCAACGGCAAATACCACACAAACCAAGAGACATGATCGGCATAGAGCAGACCACGACATACAACAACCCAACGAGGCATGCGCATAACCCTAAGAGTCCATGTATTCATATATTATATACATAGGCCTCAAAGTACCTATATAGGGACGACTACTTTAAGGCCAAAGTATCTACTATCTGGGTACATGGAGCCTTAGGGATCACCACAACAACAACAACCAGTCTGAGACCGGAACACGTCTGACGTATCGGCTTCCTACGTCCGCGCCTCCCTAAGTCCTGGCTCAAGATCACCACATGTGTACATACTGATGGTACGTCAATCACGATACAAGAACTGCACTGAATTCAAGAGCTCCGTGACAGGAGGATTCGTAGTAAGCACAACAACTTCACACAAAGGACTGCCCTTGGTGTTGAGCTCGCAAAATGCTGACCTGCCCGACCGAACCTCGGTTCACATCCCTTTGTACTTATAAGCGCCGGGCCTGCTGCCAAATGGGCCGGGTTCTCCGAAGGCGCTTCAGGTTGATACGTGCGCTCCCGCACCTCCTGTCAGGAAGACGCGACATGTCGAGAAGCCTCGTGCCCTAAACCCTAAACCCCTAAACCCTAAACCCTTTATTTGGAGCTCAGGCTGAGGAACCGCTTCATTCCTCTGCAGGCTGTGAATCGAGAAAACGGGCTGCACGAGGCAATGATTGGTGTCTCGGGTCTGGGGTTGGCATCGACAGAAGAATTAGAATAGGGTTCCTTTAAAAGGGTTCCTTTAAGGGTTACTATAGAATAGGGTTCCTTTAAAAGGGTTCCTTTAAGGGTTACTATTAGGGTTATACTATAAGGGTTTAGTTTAGAGGCCTTAATAATCAGAATAGGGTTTGGGGCTCCTCTACAGAGAGCCACAAATCCCTTACAGGCGGTCAGATTTCACCGCAGAACCCTGGGGCCGGGTTCACACCCCGCCCCCCGGCAATTTTGGAGGGTGGCTGGGGAGGGGATTAAGAGGTGGGGAATGGAGAATGTCTGGGTTTTTTTCCTTCTACAGAAAGGAGCACGTCTCGCCTCCCCAATATCTATGATATTCTACAGCCCAGAAGCGAAATTTCCAAACTCGAACGTAAACGTCAACACTCCCATGAGAAAGGACTCTTATGCAAAGTCCGAAACCATACTTGGAGGGTCGGGGGACTTAGTAAGTGGGTCATAAGTAGACTTATACGTACCCTAAAAGGGACCCTAATTGGGGTTATGATACTTATAACTCTATAAAATAACTACTTACTAAGTCCCCCGACCCTCCAAGTAAGCACACCTTTATCAAGGCGCCCCTGTTTGCTGAATCTGGGGGTTCCCAAAAATGGGGGGACCCTAATATAGTACCTTAAATAGTAGGATCCCTATTATAAGGACCACAAAACAAGGTACCCCCCCTATGTTCGGAAACCCCCATCCCTCCTGGTTCAGGCCAATGAGATGCTCCGGATGCTCGGATGTCCTGCACTCGGATCAGGGTTTAGGGTTTAGGGTTTAGGGTTTAGGGTTTAGGGTTTAGGGTTTAGGGTTTAGGGTTTAGGGGAACTTGGGATGAGAGAATACGTCAGGAGGATGAAAGTTTTGTCGCACTCCCTAAGGGTCCATGTATTCATATAGTATATACATTGGCCCCAAAGTACCTATATAGGGACTACTCTAAGGCCAAAGTATCTACCGTTTGGGTACATGGACCCTTAGGGATTAGCATGGGTTTCAATGTTTCGTTGGCCGAGAACTCGGAGTAAAAGGAAGTGCAGTTTACGCGGGCTGGCCATCAGAGGAATCTCGGCGCTCGTTTACACATTTGTACAACTTATATGGGTAGTTCTCTAAATTTGGGTCCCTTCCGCGCCCAACATAGCACGGCGCCCTTATAGAAAGGTGGACCCTAATTTAGAGAACTACCCATATAGCGCTTGTTCAGACGGAGAACTTTGCAAGGTCAGGCCCCAAAGCTCTACTTCGTGTAGGATTCTATGAGGGACGGGGCTTCACAAGTACATGCAAGCAGAACTGCCGGATGCGACGAACATTCGGCCAGAATCACCCAGAGGGCTTTTAGAGAGAACC